TCGCTGGAAAAAACTTTACCCCCCCCGCTTGGGCCATCATGTTCTCAATTTCTTGCAATTCAACTTTTAAATGCAGTTTTCACATCTTTCTACAAGAAGTAGAAAGATGTGTCTTTCTACCCCCCCCCCCGCCAAAGATCACAATTCCGCTACTATTTACGGCCACCCAACCGTCAAAGCGCCCAGGCAGACACGTTACCTTTTCGCAGGCCATGGAGCCCTGAGTTACATTAGCCGTAGGTGACAATGGTCCGACGCGGAGAGCGAAGGTAGCCAAGAGTCCGTTTGGTTAATGCTCGGCCTCATTTCACTTCTCCACACAGGACACTGCAGTCACTGCAAATATCTGTAATTTAGCATATTTCAAGCGTTGATTTTTCAACAGCTTGCTTATTTACAAACACAGCATTTTACTTCTGCTCTACAAGAGACACAGAAGCTCTGTGCTCATTTTCTCTCTAAAATTATGTCTGATGTTTAAAACCTGTGGAAGGAAACCTCGGTCATGAATTTCGGCACTCACTAACCTAAACCGCTGCTGCGATGACTCACACGAAGCAGCGGTTCTCTCCGCCCTCCGTAAATGGCATCCTTCGCTTAGGACAGCCTGGCTAGCATTTCTTGTGCTCTTGCAGAGTATATGTATTTTTCTTCAATCTTCAGCTAAATAGATTCCAATCAAAAATACTAGGTGTCACGGCCTGTTGTCTTTTGGTTGTATGAGGCCAAAAGGTTTCACTCGAAGTTGTCTAAATTTGTAACGGTGGGCTGACCACGATGACACCCACGTCACAGGGCAACAATGAACATGCCAAATGCTTTGACTTTTTTTGGGGGGGGGGCTTAAAAAAGTGCCTGGAAAGGTGCATTTAAAACTCTAAAGGTAAATATTTCAGTCGCACTCACGGAGCAGCAATCCCTTCTCAGACTGCGACACTTTCCCTTAGTGACTACTTGCAACAGAGGAAGCAGAAGGGTTGTATTTGCATACGATCTCACCTAGAGCGCAGTGCTTTCCTACGAAGGATGTCGCTAACAAATACTTTGAGCAGATGTGGCCATTGACCTCCTATTCGCATGGCTAGCCATTCGCGGTCCCACAGGTTCTTCTCCTGTCTGGGATACAAGAGATTTCCTACTTCAAAAGCGTAATGCCTTACGGGATCTCGTTTTGTATTTTTGTACCGCCGTATACACGTTGCTTAGTGTCAACAAAAAATACATCAGAACAACTATTAGATTTGAATGAAATACTTGAAAAATCGTATCTTTTACTTACACACTTCCACTCACAGGAGCGAGCAGCTTCCATTTATACTAAAAGGCAAAGTACTTAACGGGGCGTGCTAACTTCCCACTAGTTGACCCTCAAAACTGCTTTTTTTTTTTTTTAAACATTACATCATCTTTTATCTTCCTTAGATCTGAGCCCAACTATAATTCAGCTCTTTGCTTTTTCACAGCTTCTCCCCACAAAAGCATGAACATGAAGCATAAGTTGTCTAATAAAACCAGACATAATTCTCTCAAAGTCACTCCAAATTATTTGCAAATTGTAACACTTTGCACCTTGTCTGTGCTCCGCTGTCCTTCAGAAATAGGTATTTTTACTACACGATTCCAATACCTCACTCAGTTGTTATTTTACACATCAAAGCTTGCTCTGCTATTTTGTCATATTTTTCAGGCCTGAGCACTATTTTTAAGAGTTTCAAGCCCAGCAAAGACAGCACAGCTGACAGTGCACATGGTAAATAGGTACCTGAATGTAAGACAAGGCATTACTGATTCAAAGGACACAGTTTTAAGTCTCACGCATTCAATCAATACACTTCTTTTTAAAACTATTATCTTTCCACTCTTACGTCTGTATTTAATCCTATGTATTAGGTACCATGGACTACTGTAGACTCCTTAACCGTGACTTTTGGTAGGTTACCATGTGGCGTCTGTCCCTCCAGTGCTCCACTGCCTCCTCAAAACGAGGGTACTGCATGTTACTTCCGTGTCCGTATCTCTAAGATCATACATAGAAACACCTTCCCCCCCCCACCCCTTCATGTCTTCACGCTGAACTCTGGACAAATGGGAAGAGCAGGCAGTAAGACCAATCTATATCACCTCTTTCTCACTAAAAAGCCTTTGTGCTTTGTTTTGCAACGCCCCTTTGCAAAAGCTTTCTCTGAAACTCATTCTGTTCCGTCTACCTCTTTGGATTCATTTCAATCATAAAAGCAAGCATAAGTTGCCACTGAGAGTCGCTGCATAGCTGGCCAATGGGAGCTTGACGTTATTTGGGAAAAATGCAGCTCTGCAGGTACTTGACATATTTCTACAAACCATTTCTATTCCTTCCCTTTATCACACTTCTCCAATACTCCCACACAGTTTGTTATTCCTACCATTCCAAGTAATTTAACAATACAACAATCATCCGGCTTAACAGCAGCGTCTGCTTTCTTACTTCCCTCATGCAGTGTTTTCTCCTTGTTCAGCGTTACACTACTTTCCATTTTTAGAATTTCACATGTAGTATTTCCTTATACAATAACACTTTGCCTGATAAATCCTTCTCTCCCTCCGCTGCAAAGGTATCACCAGCCTTTTCCAAAGGCAAACCAACCGTGGAACAGAAGCCCCCAAGTATGGAAAGGATATTCCTTACTGAAGATTTAAACCTCAAGCTCCAAGATATCCAACACAGTAAGAACAAAACTGAGGTGGGAGGAAGAGGACCAAGCAAATAAGGGTTCTCTACTAGCACTTCTCAATTTCATGTGCACTACTTACCTGTGACAGAACAAGGTCATCATATGCTCTGTGCTCTTTGGTGTTAATTCACTATCTGTATCAGAGAACTAGAAATAGCCAAATTTGCAACAGATTTCCCAGAACAGCTAGAAGAAGCATGAACAGCGGAAGGAAATAATCAAATTTTCTTTATATGAAGAAGAAGAAGAAAATAGTTCACTTTCATCTATTTGTAACAAATCTATAGACTATGTTATGAAAACTAAGGTATATTTCCAGAAAGCAATTACTATGCCGGGCTAACACGAAACTGCCAACCCAAACAACCAAGATTACAAGTCCTGCATCAAAACACCGATAAGAACAACTTAACATTCCTTGATTTACAAGGCATAGTAAGTATTGGGCTCTTTTTACATGTTTCAACTGGAGCCATTAGGTATCATGAATTATTTTCATACAATAAAAGTCAACTTTTTATAGACAGACTTTCTCATAATCATTTCTCTCTAAAATTAAAGTGTTAAGAAAGTAGAAGGTACCGGAAGACTTTCAGGAACATAGGCAAAACAGGCAAAGGAAGTCCCATAATAAACACAAATATGGGACTCTAGAACCCCCATCTTCCTTCACGTAAAGAGCTCGGATACCAGTGTTATTCTAGCTCTGATACACTACAGACTTTGACAGAGTTTTAAAACTCTAAAGTATATCAGAATTAATTATAATTAAAAAGCATCAGCATTCTCTGATACACAAATAGCAACTAGGCAAATAGCATCAAACCCATTTAAAAAATAATCAATCACTTGGTTTATTTTTTTAAGGAAACATAACAAAGCAAACGTAAAGCCCCCATAAACTTAATCTGTACCAAAGACTCCAAATCAAGACTTTTTAAAGTAACCAATAGCTAGATTAATCTGTTACTTGTTCAAACCACAAAGTTCAGTGTACTCCTAGAAAATAACATTCACATATACACTATTGAGTGGTATAAACATCCCTTACCACTAGGTCCCACATGAGCTTATTTTACTCACTCAAAGTAAAGACGACCCAAGCTTTTCCACCAGGAAAAAAAAAAGAAAAAAAATTAAACACCACAACTATCCTCAGCAGAGCACTCCAAAAAGCTGTTTGAATGGTGCAGCCAAAACCCTGAAGTAGCACCTACAGAGCAGCCGGCAGAGAAGCCATTGCCAAGCCATTACTGCAGCTGTGGGCGGAGGCGTCAGCCCAAAGGCCCAACAGCTGGCAGGGCTTCTCCATGGGACATGAACTGCTTCGATAGTTATTGCCAGAATTTTCCTTCTCAAGCT